ATCGAGTCCCACATCGGGCTCCCTGCTCGGCAGGAAGCCTGCTTCTCCCTCTCCCACTCCCCCTGCTTGTGTTCCTGCTCTCGCTATTTCTCTGTGTCAAATAAATAAATAAAATCTTTAAAAAAAAAATAAAACCTTTACCATACTGCCAAATTAAGAGAAAACTTCACAGCTTTAATAAAGTACCAAAAGAGTTCCTTTTCTAAGCAGTAACATTTAAAATACAGTTTCTTGAAATATTACTATAAAAACTGCTAGAAATTAGACAAGAACAAATCAGATAGCCCATAACAGCTGAGAAATACACTGGGATTGCTCAGACAGAGCCTCTCCCAAAGATTATCTGAATCTGAGAAGGAGATCATATTTATTTCTTCAAACTTATATAAGTAATTCTTTTTCACATATTATTTCTAACCAGAGAAAAAGAGAAGCTACCTCAAATCTGTCCATGAAACAAGATACAGCACAGAAATTTTTACTCAAAATATTAGCAAATGGCATTGTCAAATGCACTAGGGAAATGACCAAGAGAAATGACCACACGAGAACGGAGCAGTGTATTTAATGTATCAATATTATCAAATGCAGACTTACATAAACGCAGACTAAAAAGGAATGATAAGATACTGGTTCTGAACGGAGTGGTTCCAGTAATGATGACTGATCAATTCTATCCTTTTACATGCACAGCTGAGCTCCGGAGAGAAGGAAATCCCAAGGGCCAAACAATAGGAGTAAGCTAAAAACCCAGAGCAGAAAGCGTGGGACTTGACACCACAAAGCCCAGTTTTGTGAGGGTGGCCTGAGTGTCTCTGTAACCCAGAACTGAGTTCTTCCAACTTCTGTCAATCAGAGAATCAGATCTGAAGCCCCTTGCATAAAACCAGAATGACCGTCGTAGGCATCGTGTGCCCCCTCCCCAGACCCTGCCCTCACTGGGGAGGGGACCACGAGGAACTTGCATGGGCCAGCCTGGGATCCAGATGGGAAAAGGACAACCATGGAAATCTCTAATCACAGCCTGAGCCGCATGGAGCTTGATGTCTACATTTAAGCATTCATTTCGGCTTGGACCTGAGTGCCTGGAATAAAACATTCCCGGAGTCTCATCTTCCAGCTAAAACCCTGCTGCAGATGAATTTATCATCCAAATGTAGTTAAGCATGGAAATTCACAATAAATGAGAATCAGCAGACAATAAAAAAGGAGGCTCACCCCCAAGAATTTTAGATAATTGACTAATCCAAGACTATAAACGAAGTAGGTTTTGAATAATTACTTATATGGCCGGTATGATCCACCTCAGAGCCTTGTGTGTGTTCTTCCTTTGCCTAGAATTTTCTTTAGAGACTGCCGCTTGGCTTATCCCCTCCCATTCTTCAGGTTTCTTACCAACGAGGCCCTCCCTGACCCCTCTATATGACAGCGTACAGCCCCACACATTCCCTGCACACACAGTCCCTCAGACACATGTCTCCGTAGCGCTTAATCATCTTTGGATATACTATCACTGGCTGGATAGTGTTTATGATGAGTTTTTCCTCCACCAGAAACTGAGCTCCATGAAGCAGCAGCTTCCTCATATTTACAGCTGTCTCTCCATGCCTAGTAACATGTACGGTACAGGACAGGCATTCAAAAAATATTTCTTGGGAGGACTGACTGAATGGATGAACAAATAAAAAGAAGAAAACAGAAAGGTACTGCACTGAAGATGGAAAAGAAAGAATTAAACCAAGAATTAATTTTAATTATAGAATTCAACAACACTGGTGCTCCATGAATCTATGAAAACTCAAAACACAGATGTTATCACAGAT